GGTGGACTTTTGATTTGCAATTACGTTTAACGTGTGCTATTAAAAAGTGTTTCTGCGATGAACCTATCGCATTGATAACTTTTTCCATCTTGAGAAAAGATAACAAATGGAAGTTTAAAGGTATATGCTACAATTACATAGACATAAAGGCAAAATGAAAACTGTATAATAGAATTTGTTTAAACTTTGAATGAGCTAAGATCAAAAGGAATTATGCAAATGTGACAACTGTTAACAACACTGCACCTTAACACTGCTGGAACCGAAATGAATTTTCGAGTATAGATAAACATATAAGCCAGGCTGGACATCCATGCAGACTGAACCGGCTCTTTACTTATGGCTGACTAACTTTTGAAATAACTAAGTAGCCAGTTTTAAAAAAGGAAGTTTGAAAAGTTTTACAAATTTGGCAGGTTTAGATTAGACTTGCAAATATGTACAGTTTTACCAGTTTTAGAATTGTCGGCTGCTCAAGTTTAGTCTTTTTTTATTATCTTTTCTATTAGAAGTATATAGGAGAAGTCGAATATAGATATTAAATGGTTGGTAAAAATGCCCCCAGGTTAATATTTTCAAACAACGTGTGAAATATATCTCCCATATTTAACGTATATAAAACGTTTTTAAAACGTTCATGTTTTGCAAAAATAAAATTATTCTATCATATACATTGAATGAAAAGTAGATAAAACTGTAAACTCAAAATTTTCCAAGAAATTATATATGATCTTTTTAAAATTTAATGGCGAACTTAAAAGGACGAAAACTAATACCCGCTTTGTTTTCGTTATTATTGTTGTATATAAACCAATTCAAGACCAGTGAAAAGTAGCCTTCTCATTTCCCCTCGGAGCGTGCACGTCGCTGAGAAGGCACAGGGCATCGGCAGAAGATTTACAACTTGGCTGGCAGTCAACTTAAATTTTTCCTTACGGAACTCCTACTTCGTCACTTCTGCGGACCAGCTGCCGATGTCCTGACTAATGCCGAGGGAAGTGGCCCTACAAAGTAGGCTGAGACGACGAGGATGGTGTACTAGGGTGCGTGAGCCCCTAGTACAGATAGACGGCTTGTAAGGCAGGCCTATAGCTGGCACCAACAGCCCTTTTCAGGGCCAAACACCTACCTTTCCTATTGTACAGGTTACTGTACATTTAGGTTCTCATTGACCGCCGTACAGTGACCTACTTTTGGCTCAAAATTCATATCTTTGGCTAATACTCCGTGGAAATTGCATGGAGGTAAATTATCACCATTTTGTGCTTCAAAATTAACTCTTTAAGGACATGACTGGTGACATGTCCGGGGTCCGTACTCGACAGCGCAAGCTGCATTTTGTGCCCGAAAGGGCGGATGGACCCTCATTAAGCTTTAACTTACATACATACATACGTGAAAAGTAGCCTCCTTATCATTATAATAAGGAAAAGGCATATTTTGGAAGTCTGCCCTTTTTTGAAAGGGCGGACAGCTCTTTGTCCCTTTCTCATAAGAGAAGGGGAATCCTGTGATGCGTGTATGAGGTCGCACGGTCACTTTCCTTACAACATGTCCTCGATGCATGTATGTGGTCGCATGGTCGAAAATCTCTAATAAAAAGACAATGTTTTCAAAAGTGATTTGGTACGGAAACGTCTGGTGGAAAATTATTTAAAAAAAAAACAATTAAAATCGTAATTAGGAGTTTTAAAAGTCTAAGTAGGACTCTGTTACTTCAGTTAAGGATTTTAAAAATCTTAATAAGGACTTTTTGTCTCTAAATTAGGATTTGATATTCTTAGTTAGGAGAGATAAAAAACTGTGTTTACTCACATTTACAACTGATTTTAGCCTAAATAGGAGAAATAAAAATATTAATAAGAGTTGCCATATACAATCTTAATTCCTAATGAAAAGTTTCAAAAGCCAAAATAAAAATAATCCAATTTTAACTTTGTGACATCTAATTTAATGTTTATACAAAACACAAATAAGAATTTTATTTCTCATAATAAGTTTTTAAAACTTCTAATTAGGACATGCAAAGTCATAACTAGTTTTAAGACTTTAAAACGTCACATTAACACAATAAGTTTAGATAGTGACTTTCTAGCTTTAATGGTAGAAGAAGACCTCCGGTGGCCCTCAGTACACAAAACTGGAATCCGAGTAGAACCACCGACGTGGATAGCTTTCTCACGTGAAAAATAACCTAAGTCCCTGGTGTAATTTAAACCCACAGCGGTGAGAGCTAATCTAGTTATCAGTTTGCAAAGATACGCAGAGCAATATACTTATATATAGATGAGTATCATATGTATCTAGCATGTAACATTCTCATCCTCGGTAACCCATCCGTACTGCTTACGCATACATTTCGTGGCTTCCACGATGTTGCATCAATGGCTTTGACATTTTGATTGCAATCAAAAAGGACATTTAAAGTGTATTGTTCTATGATGGAAAGTATGCAATACCATAAATATTTATGCTCATAGTAGTAAGTATCATGTGTGATAATAATACATGAAAGAATTATATGTGGACATTGATAATAAAATGTTCTGGAACAAAATTAGTAATTTATCATATAAATGTCATATTAAATCATGTAGAACTAGATAAACATTTTTTTTTGTTAAAAAACAACAACATTTTGTAAGTATATCAAAATGACACATTTCTATTGTTTTTATCAATATTTAAAATATTTCTTGAAAAAGTGCCCATTGTAGACCAATCCACTTTAAAAGGCATTTATTTTTTGTCTTGAGTTGGCAGATGGATCGGAACATTCCGTTATGTCCCAAAGTTAATAAATACTTTATATTCGTCTTTATATTAATTTATATAGAGATATAAACGGGACCACAGATCTACTTCGAATAATGTCCGGTATTCAAATAACCGATACATGCCACCCGGAACCTACTACAACAGCAAAACCTTCAGCAGCTTCCCTGGCCGTCCTTGTCTCCAGATTTGAATGTTATTAAACACCTGTGGAATGAGTTGAATAGGCGTATGCGCAGGCGAGCGGTATCACCGCAGAACCTACCAGAACTGTGGAGGAATATTCCACAGAGATTTCTGAGGGATTTTGTAATGCCAATGAGAAAGAGGTGTATCAAAGTTATACTCATGTTTTATTTCTGATGAATTTTATACTTTTTTATTATTGACTACAATAAAAAAAATTCACAATACATTAATGAGGTATACATAGAGGATATTTGTTTAGTTCAGTGTAAGATCGGAATATATTTCACCGAGTGAGCACCAAAAGGTATATTTCACGAGTGGCGCAGCCACGAGTGAAATATGAACTTTTGGTGTTCACAAGGTGAAATATATTTCACTATACACTAAAAAGTACAAGAGTTGCGTTAGAAAAGTCTTTCAGTGTACATATACAACAATGTATATATATATATATATAAACAATGCCATATGTACAGTCAACCCATGGTATTGTGTTTTAAAGTTGAAAAGAAAACCCTAAATAAGACCAAAAACGACAAAGTTGAAAATGTTACAGGCTCGGTTTGAGTGAGCCTATAAAAAGTGGAAGCCCCGAGCAACGGCTTGAGCAGAATTCAACATTAACATAATTTGGTAAAATTTTGAATTTTGAAACATCCGCAGATGTGTTCATATGGCGGTTATCATTGAACCTTCAATGTGACATGTGAGTTTCATTTAATGAAAGCGGCATATGGTTCCCAAAGTCGTTTCTAACGAGATAACATTTGACGTAACTGAACAAAACAAATTGACAAATTTATTAATTAATTAATAACCGGATTAATTAATTAATATAACCGCTTTTCATGTGTGTCTCAGTCCATATGTTCAGATAAACTTTATAGTAACCCTTAACCCGCATAGTTTCAGTAATGAATTTACTATTCTTTAATTTGGAACAGTCCATGTGGATGGTCAGGGATTTCATTTTTCAAAATAAAGATACTGAGCTGATCAACCTGCACAGTTGTGCTGTGCCTGGCTCTAAACTGGTGTCAAATTTAAGGTGCGTCACTTCCGATTCCAGAAAGAGGAAATATGATAGTCTGTTCGCAGATTATAACGCAACTTTAAAGAAATAATCAATTTGTCAAAAGACGCCCGTTAAACAGATATCTCTGCTGCAATTTTATAAAGATTTTTCAACCTTACCATAGTCTATACTGTCAATATCTTAGAGGCACATTATGGCTCAGAAATAAATTTTAAAAAATATTTTTAAGAAAGGGCAAACATTTTGTTTATAATGTTTAAATAACGATTTTAGAGAATCTTAGATGCTTGTTACCTGTAGAAAGTAGCGATAAATGTGAAACGAATTGTCATCAAAGTAGCAAAATGTAAACAAGGTAGTATTTTGACTACCATACAAATACTAATTCACTATTACTGTACTTATTGCTAAAAAGCAACAAATGAAAAAGAAAGTCCCGGTAATTGGCTAATGAGTTACTTTTTGGATATAATAGAAGTAAACCAACATTTTAAATGCTTTTTTTGAGAAACTATAAAAAATGCATTTCTTAGGCATAAAGGGCCTTTAAATGGATATGTTTATCTTTCAATGTGGACAAGACCATCCATCATGTATAGGGAAAATTACAAAATGGGAAAAATAGTTAAAAATAGTAGAAAGGTGGTGCAGTTGACAAAGACTATGTAAAGTGTTCACGGTTAACTTAGTTCCGCCAGAGATGAGTCTTAAGTGGCAAGTTACCGATTGAATCGGTTGCATGGGGATTTGGATTATCACAAATATCAAAGGGTGATTTTCTTACACTAAAATGAGGATAGATAGGTGTTTTAATCCTAATTGTAATGTCAACTTTATCATGTATTTTAGTTTGCATTGATATTATTTGCTGCTGAAGAAGGGTGACGTGACTAACACAGAATAAGGTCAAAGGTCTATAGTTGACGAAGAAAAATACATTGCATCGTCAAAAATTGTTAGCCAACTTATTTTAATTTGCATAGAAAAAAGGAAGACTCAATAAGAACATGAAACTTTATTTTATCAAACAGTTGAAACATAATTTACAGTTTTCTATAAAAACAAATCTACAAACTATATCAGAGTTTCTTTTTTCCTGGTCAACATATACTCAATATTTCCAACGTACCGGAACATCTTTCTCTTTTACTTTTATTATTTAAAGTAACAAATTAACAAGAACAGTAGATCCTTTTCAATTGTCATTCAACAAACTAACCATACAAATAAATGAATCCGAAGCCTGATTCAATGTTTTTGTGATGAGTATTCTGATTATCATCGAATTTTGTGAAAAATAACAAGAATAGTTTTGTTTTTATTTAGAGCTTTAAAAAATCATAACATGAACGATGCGATGTGCTTTATTCTTTTTGTTGGTACGGAAGTTTTGTTTGCGGCAATTGTAAAGGTTCGTTGTGTATTTTTACTACCGTGTGCTGCGGGTAAGAAGGCAATGTTTTCCGATCTTGTATTTGGTATGCACCAGATATCGTCGACAAGTTGATATGCTCTTGAGGCCGATGCATGCGATCTGATGGCGTATCGCTTTTGGAACGCTGCGTTTGGTATTGTGTTGGCACGTGACCTTCTGTTTTTGGAAGACTGAGAATTCTCTGAGATCTCGTGGTTGTCAAATTTTCGTTCGTACCTTTACAACAGATTATACAGCAGCTAATAATCATGACGACGGGACCGAGGAATATAATCACATATATCCACCTATAGCTACCACCTGATCCACTTCCGCTATCATTTGAAAGGAAAGAAATTTATATTTTTACAATTAATGCCATTTTTGTGTAACTTATCACGTATAAAGACTAACCAATGCTTTATGCAGTGCTTACAAATCCATTTAAAAAAACAAAACAAAAGTCAATGATATACAACCACAATTGACATAGAAAAAATCCCGTTCTTGTTAGAGCATAAATCTATTACTAATTAATGTTAGTCACTATGTACAATTTTCTGAATAAAATACGTTTAAACTAAAATAAAATGTGTTAGAAATGGAAGTTAATAAAAAGTTATATTATGCGATTTAAACAACACCTCTTTCAAATCAGACCATCAATTTGAGTGTAGCGTCTGTATTTGCTGCAGAAACGGTAAGTTTAAATTTTATCTAAATTATATGTTTTAATGCGATAGAGCTATCAATCCGAAGAAACTTGAAAAATGCATGTTACTAATTAACTCACCGGATCGACCCATTACCACCTCCGCTTGTTCTAATTCCTCCATGACCACGCCCTCCGCCACCGCTCCGGCATTCCACAGCTATAAATAACAAACAGAATTTGTAGCAATCATGGATTACAGAATTTATCATGATTTTTATTCGATGATTCCAGACACATGCTCAATTTAATATCAATTTACATTAATATTTTCGTTGATTCTTAAGTCGTTTGGGGCTTGATGTGGACAATTAAAATTTTAGATTTGTGAACATGTATTAATTCAGTCACTAGTGGGGTACTTAAGAAGTAGAACCATTAACTAATGTTAAGCTCACTAGAAAGCTTCATTATTTGAAGGAATGCGACTTTCCTGCATAGATTATGTTAAAGTGATAAAACCTGAATGTAAGCAACCTTAATTGCATTAACGGTGAAAGCTGAAGATGCTTTCTTCATAATATGATTATTGCCCTGTTTGGGCAAGTAAAAATGTCATTGTCGGCATGCTAATTGTTGACTAAATCTTTTGTGCAGTCCTTTTCCTTTACAGTTTTATGAAAAATTAATCCTTTCATAGAATTTTCTAAATTTTTTGTATGATGAGTAAAATTTAATGACGAATTTAAAAAGAAAAATATATGTTGACGTGTTGGATTTCTTGTAAAATGGCAGTTTCCATGGTAACCGTATATCTAAAAACTGTCAAATAGCCTAACTGTGTTATAACGAATAGAAAATGTATAAGATAGCTTAAAACACACAACGAGCATTGTTTTATGCGAAGATAGTCTTATCTAATGATTCTGTATGAAACAAATGATAATCTGAACATATTTCTTTAAAAAATGGGTTCTCCATGTTCCTCAACCGAACAAAAAATGAGAAAAATAAACATGAATTCGGAGAATAATTAGAGATATTGAAAAAAGTGTTTCATAGGATTTTCTAATTTTTTTGTATGTTGTGTAAAATTCAATGACAAATTCAAAAAGAAAAAGAAAAATATATGTTGGCGTGTTGGATTTTTTGAAAAATGGCAGTTTCCATGGTAACCGTATATCTCAAAATTGTCAAAATAGCCAAACTGTGTTATAATAATGTATAAAATAGCTTATTACGCTCACAATAAACATAATTTTATACAAAGTTTGCTTTATCTTAGGGTTATGTATAAAACAAACGATAATTGGAACATATTTCTTTAAAAAATAAGTTTTCATGCTTTTTAACTAAACAAAAAATGAGAAAAATAAACATGAATTCTGTAAAAAACTAAAGCTATCAAGAAATTTCTTTCATAGAATTTTCTACATTATTGCTATATCAAGTAACATTTGATGGTGGATTCAAAAATAGAAATAAAATATATATGTTGACGTGTTAGTTTTTTTGTAAACGGGCAGTTTCCATGGTTACCGCATATGCCAACTGTCAAAATTCCCACGCTTTCTTAAGAAATATCGGTGTTATACTAAATGTATTGTCAAATATACAACAAAAACATGTTGTAATAAAAATTTCGTTTTCTTTTGATGCTATATTAAGTAAATGATACTGAATATCTTTTTAAAACATATCTAGGGCCATAAATAATTTTTCACTCGACTAACATACCCGAACAGTAAGCAAGTATTCAGAAATTTACAAAGAAAATAATGAAATTCGGAACATTTCTTAGATATTAATTTTGTTTTTTTATTCAACACTTTTAAACTATATCATTTAAAACTTCTTTGCCCAGTTGTCTGCCAGTAATCAAGTCGCGACGCACTTTCGTCACTATACCACAAGTGGGTGGGGTAACGCGCGCAGAATTATCATCAATGCTGTCTTACTAATGCTTGGAGAAATCCTTTATGTGATGTTGTCTAAACGACCTCTTATTCTTTTGAACCGATCTCCTTTTGAACATTTAGAAATATCTATTCTGTATTATTTACTCATTATTTGCTTATAGCCGAAATTTAAACACTTACTAGTATCCGAATACTATTCACTTTACCTTCATTTGAAGAGTAATTATCCGTGATTATCTTTCTTGGAAGCGCATAACGATGCGCACTTAAAACTACCGAAAACGTCTTTAATGGATAAAGTAGCGTAATTTAACAATCTCGCGAGAAAATTATAGCGATATTTAACGTTGAATTTGTCGCATGTTTTACTTTAAAGTTTAATCAAACTGTCCTCTCGCAATAATTATGTTGATCCTTTGTCGGTGATTAACGTCTCGTGTTTCGCAGAACTTTGCCTTTTTCTCCAGTACCTATGATCATAACATTTAATCTTTGTCCGTTTTTAAAATTACTCTGATTTATCCCGTCTTCCATATTCATTCAAAACAAACAGATATCCTTTAGTAATTACTATATTTCAATACATAAGTATTTGTCACTTTAAAAAAAAAATAAAAAAAACCTACCTATAACCAACAATAATAGCAATATAATAAAACATGTTGTGTTTTTTAAGACCTTCATTATCATGGGGAAAATCCTGAATGTTAATTAAGGTGCATATGTGTCGTATTTAAATACTCACTAACAATTTTGATTGATTTCGAATCCGGCGGCAAATCGGTGGAAATTTACTAAGTGTTGATACCACAGGCACGAGTATCGGACCTGGGAAGAAAAAATATGACCAGATTGATAAAAAAACCTGTGTTCATCTTAAAAGTGTCAAAAAAAAATAAAAAAAATGTAAATAATGACCCCCTTTAAAAATATACTATAAGTTAAGAGAAGGCCGGAAACTCCAGATTCGAGCCTACGAGCAAGGGATTCATTTCCCGGGCCGTTGTGAAAACAATTGGCCAGAGAATTAAATAAAACTTTTATCACTATTTCACGTTTATATTAAGCTTCAAAATGAGACCAACCCCAAGTCTCTAGCCCTTCCCGTTCATGAAATATCTATCAGGAAACGAGCGAATTCGTGCTAAAAATCCTTGGTAGACAGAATTGCGGCACAACAATTCGGTACGTAAACATAGACTAATACATGTATGTCAGCTGAGTACGGGTCAAAATCACTTGAATTTACTAAATAATATTACTAAATACATTAAATTGGACCACTCACAATTGTCAGGAGCATCTAATACACACGCGATTCGAGTTTCAAACATTTACACGGTCTTTCAATCGCTTTCTACGCCATTAGGCATCTTGTGTGAAACGTTGCGGTTTTCGTTGCTATTGGCCAATCAGAAGACTCGTTACAAAATATCGAACAGCTGATTGACAATGGCGTAGACAGGAATCTAAAGACCGTGGAAAGGTTTGAAATTCGAATTTTGCGTGTATCAGATGCTACTGACGGTTGTGAGTGGTCCAACTTAATGTATTTAGTAATATTATTTAGTAAATTCAAGTGATTTTGACCCGTACTCAGCTGACATTCATGTATTAGTCTATGTTTACGTACCGAATTGTTGTGCCGCAATTCTGTCTACCAAGGACTTTTAGCACGAATTCGCTCGTTTCCTGATAGATATTTCATGAACGGGAAGGGCTAGAGACTTGGGGTTGGTCTCATTTTGAAGCTTAATATAAACGTGAAATAGTGATAAAAGTTTTATTTAATTCTCTGGCCAATTGTTTTCACAACGGCCCGGGAAATGAATCCCTTGCTCGTAGGCTCGAATCTGGAGTTTCCGGCCTTCTCTTAACTTATAGTATATTTTTAAAGGGGGTCATTATTTACATATTTTTTTGACACTTTTAAGATGAACACAGGTTTTTTTATCAATCTGGTCATACTTTTCTTCCCAGGTCCGATACTCGTGCCTGTGGTTGATACATTTACAAAAGAATATGTATATACATGCTCGACTGATTTTATAATTTACAAAAAGGATATTGAATAATTTTACTGTTTATGCACGATGATTAATTCTTCTGCAATTTTAGTAAGTATAACTAGGTCCGGCATAAAATACCCTGGGAATATTATAATTATGTACATGTTTATTTATCATACTAGTTAATGATATCAATCAAGTTGAGTTTATAAAATCACTGATGTAGAAAAATAAACATAATATAGGGAGTGATGATATGATGTTTACAATGTCGACTTATTATTCGCATTACTAAATGATGGGGCAGCATTTTAATAACTCTGAGAAATTGTACATAAGAAAATAATGAATAACCAGAAAAAATGATTCAAAATCATCTCGGACCAAACATTATTGTATTAGATGCGAAGATTAGCAATCTATCTGGTGAAAAGTCGATTGTCCTTCCTAAGCGTCTACTTGAACATGAAATAATGGGACATGATAGTCTGCTTATTGATTGATTGATTGATTGATTGATTGGTTGTGATTGATTGATTGATTGATTGATTTTTATTCAATTTATTTTATTTTACTTTATTCATTTATTTACTTAAATATTTGGTTGGTTGATTGATTGATTGATTGATTGATTGATTGATTGATTGATTGATTGATTGATTGAAGCTTTGCTTTCTGTAAATGAAAAGAATCGTACCAAAGAGTCTAATAACTGATTCGAACTATTTTCAGATATATATAATACGTACATATGCGGTCAATAATATGAAAAAAATATTAACTTTTCTTCTCACTCACTCACTCACTCACTCACTCACTCACTCACTTTTTTATATTTTTCCTAACAAGATAAAATTTGCTGTGGAAAAAATAACATCCTTGAAGAAGTGAATTTCGTCGGCCGTCAATTCATAGGTGCAAGGTGCGGCAAAAGGGAATATATTCACTAATAAAATCATACAATGTAAATTGTTCAACTTGCGGTTTTTCAACCATTACATTTTGAAGTTGTGGAAAGTTTTATTTCTAATTAACGTTTGTTAAATGGAAAGTACGTAAATACTGTCTCTTCCCGTCCGCTCCTATAATGGCAGTTCTAAATTTAGAATAAGTTGGACTCGTTGTAGGCTGTCAAAAGTCGCCCCGTACATATTCAATCAGAGATGTTATATTTCCGACCTTTAAAGATCGTTCAACACGACATTATTGTTGTATTTGTGGGATTTTTTTAGTTTCAACTTTTTGGCTTTTTTGATTTGGGTGGTCCCAATATTCCTACTGGAATAATGTTGAATCACCCTTAGGATATGTTGCCTGCTTTTTAACTTTGTCTTTTGACGTCTGTGATATGCAGGCTTCATAACCTCTGATCCCCTTTCAGAATTCGATTTTGTTTAGTTTCGCCCATTTTTTTCTCGTTGAGAGCACACGCTTTTTATTACTTACAAAGATTTAATTAAAATACGATGTCGGCCTCTCACATGTTTAACTGCGGTTTTATCAGTGTTGCATGCGTTATAATATTGCCACAATCAGATTGCAGTTTTACAAATTTCATTGATGTAATCATCACTTAAGATCACAAATACAAAATATCAACCCAGAGAGTTTTTTTTCTCTTAAGATTGTTACAGGGATCCAAACTAGCCCTGCTGCCGTTGTAGGCAGAAATGAGCCGCGTCACGACAAAACCAACATAATGGGTTTGCGACCAGCATTGATCCAGACCAGCCTGCGCATCCGCGCAGTCTGATCAGGATCTATGATGTTCGCTATCAGTTTCTCTACTTGTAGTACTTGTAGTAGGGTTGGTAAGCGAACAGCATGAATCCTGATCAAACTGCGCGGATGCGCAGGCTGGTCTGGATCCATGCTGGTCGCAAACCCATTATGTTGGTTTTGTCGTGACGCGGCTCAAATGTATTGTCGAAGCTGTCTATGTTGACTGAAAATGCTCTCAAAGTGACTGAATGACATAAAATCAAGCTAACTCTCTTTTTTTGTTTATTCGCATAATTATTACCTTTTGTAACAATTGAGGCTTTAAACTATCATTTGTGGTATTTTTTCATGACAGAAAAAATGTTTATACGAAAGGTGCATCGAAAAAGCTTTTTTGTTGACACGCTTCATGAAAAAAAATCAAGATTCACTACGACCAAAGTTTCCCATGTATGTAAGTAATCCGTTATGTCACTCACTGATTATTCTTTATATTTTCATGTAATGTGAAATGGCATTGAGTTGGTGGGCTTTTGATTTGCAATTACGTTTAACGTGTGCCATTAAAAAGTGTTTCTGCGATGCACCTATTATATTGATAACTTTTTCCATCTTGAGAAAAGATAACAAATGGAAGTTTAAAGGTATATGCTACAATTATATACATAGACATAAAGGCAAATTGAAAACTGTATAATAGAATTTGTTTAAACTTTGAATGAGCTTAGATTAAAAGGAATTATGCAAATGTTACAACTGTAAACAACACTGCACCTTTACACTGCTGGAACCGAAATGAATTTTCGAGTATAGATAAACATATAAGCCAGGCTGGACATCCATGCAGACTGAACCAACTCTTTACTTATGGCTGACTAACTTTTGAAATAACTAAATAGCCAGTTTTAAAAAAGGAAGTTTGAAAAGTTTTACAAATTCGGCAGGTTTAGATTAGACTTGCAAATATGTACAGTTTTACCAGTGTCAGAATTGTCGGCTGCTCAAGTTTAGTCTTTTTCTTGCAACCCATTATATTATCTTTTCTATTAGAAGTATAGGAGAAGTCGAATACTAGTATAGAAATTAAATGGTTGGTAAAAATGCCCCAAGGTTAATATTTTCAAACAAAGTGTGAAATATATCTCCCATATTTAACGTATATAAAACGTTTTTAAAACGTTCATGTTTTGCAAAAATAAAATTATTCTATCATATACATTGAATGAAAAGTAGATAAAACTGTAAACTCAAAATTTTCCAAGAAATTATATATGATCTTTTTAAAATTTCATGGCGAACTTAAAAGGACGAAAACTAATACCCGCTTTGTTTTCGTTATTATTGTTGTATATAAACCAATTCAAGACCCGTGAAAGGTAGCCTCCTTATCAATATAATAAGGAAAAGGCATAATTTGAAAGTCTGCCCTTTTTTGAAAGGGCGGACTGCTCTTTGTCCCTTTCTCATAAGAGAAGGGGAATCCTGTGATGCGTGTATGAGGTCGCACGGTCACTTTCCTTACAACATGTCCTCGATGCATGTATGTGGTCGCATGGTCGAAAATCTCTAATAAAAAGACAATGTTTTCAAAAGTGATTTGGTACGAAAACGTCTTGTGGAAAATTATTTTAAAAAAAAAAAAAAATCGTAATTAGAAGTTTCAAAAGTCTAATTAGGACTCTGTTACTTCAGTTATCTTAATAAGGACTATTTGTCTTTAAATTAGGATTTGATGTTCTTAATTAGCAGAGATAAAAAACTTTGTTTACTCACATTTACAAACTGATTCTAGCCTAAATAGGAGAAATAAAAATATTAATAACAGTTGTCATATACAATCTTAATACCTAATGAAAAGTTTCAAAAGCCAAAATAAAAATCCAATTTGAACTTTGTGACTTCTAATTAAGTGTTTATACTAAACACAAATAAGAATTTTATTTCTCCTAATAAGTTTTTAAAACTTCTAATTAGGACATGCAAAGTCATAACTAGGGTTTAGACATTAAAACGTCACATTA